CTAGATTGGTGGAGCACTGGAGGGGTGCTGCTAAGTAGTATTTCCAAGACCTCTTATAAGTATGATAGAATCCAGAGGCCAAATCGTGTTTATTTACATGATTTGGTACAATCGAAGTGGCCTCGACAAAACTTGACATGTTGGCACTGGCGCCTGTGACGGTGGAAGAGATCATGTTTCCCAACACACTGCATTTGCAGACATCGGATGAGTGTACACTTTTGGATACCTCGCTAAATAACACTTGCATGTTAAAAGATAATGCAAAACATGGCCCGAAAAATTATGGACCATTTCCCCAAAGGGAACCCTGATAGCATGCGAAGCAGCAGCGGTGTGCATGGCCTTGACCCTGTTGAAACGGGCGTCGATGTGGGTGCTGGAAGAATGATTTGAAGCAAAACTTGGTGTAGCCTTTACTCGAGTAAACATGTCTTTGAAATGCAATGACACGGGAGGCGGGTTGGGTTTCCTGTAAGTTTCATCGCAGAAATACTCTTCGCTTGATCTGCGCTCGAACATTGCAAGCGTGGAGAGGGCAAAGCAAGAGTGATGATACTCAGTGAGCAGTGACAGGCTACGGACAGAGTGACGTCAACGCGCGTGCACTGTGAGGAAAGGCGTGACCTACTTCGCACTGTCCCAACACCTCCAGCTAGGGGAGCGTGGTGCGCATGGAGGGACAGCGTTACACAGGATAGTCAAAGAGCCGCTTTACATCTAAAAGAAAATTTATGGCAATTTGTACACTTGGTGGCAGTGCACTTTCCGTTGTGTGAAAATGGAACTATGCTGCCAGCTGTCGCACAACGTCATGCGAGTGATGCAACAGGTTGTATTGCCACAAGTCTGAATAACTTTACACTTCACTGTTTTTCGGGTGATTCTAGTAAATGTTCATGCCGCAATAAATTCGCGATGCTAGGACATTACTCAGAAAGCACACTTCACAAAATGAGTTGATCAAGTACGAAACTGAAACCACATTTGCGGCATTATCAAGAGCTGACTGAAAGGGCCAGAAGTAGTGACATTGCCATCACAAAATGGTGATGAAATGCATATAAACATTTCTTTTTTTTTTTTTTGCTGCAACATAGACTTTCCATAAAGGCATAACATTTTGTGCATAAAAGTATCGAATGTGTGCTGTTAGGCTGGTGTTGTGTATGAAATGAAATAGTGTCTTGTGAAATGTGTTGTCATGTACCCAGCAGTGATAGGTGGTTGTGTCAATGTAGTGAAAGCTGGCTTGCAGGAAGTGACGAGAGCGTTCCAACTATAGACCCATTTCATGTTTGTAAACACAGGTAGGCTGAAGTCGACATTATGGGTAAAATTATAGCGACGTCCGCACGTAACTTCTGCCATAAGCGCTGAGGGCTGTGATATACACCAACAGAACGACGTTGTGAGACATCATAAGCGTTGTGAAAGCCATAAGCGCTGAGGGCTGCGATGTGCGCCAACAAACAAAACTAAGTTGTGAGACGCGACTCACATCCAACCACGACGCAGTTCGTAAGCATATCGTTTTTTTCTCTCGTTGCTTTAGAACCGAGAACTGAGAAACACCGCATGCACCATTGAAAACCCAGCAGAAACTGCGGTAGGCAGAGCGTCTTTTGACTACCAAGACAGTACCACCACATTTTCATGACGTAAGTCCGGTGGAATTTGTCTATAACCCTTGGCATGCCCATACAAGATGGTATGCATCTGCTTGTATCACTGGACTGGAACAGTATGGACAAGTAGGACCAACTGGTAAATGAGACCAGTTTCACGTTGACATAACAGCCAGTGTAAGAGCCTCCTAAGCACTACATCCTCTTCCCTAACAAGGTGATGGGTAAAAGAGCAAACACATTGTGGGATAAGAGCACGTGTATCCTCCCCCAGAAAACTTTTACAGGCACAAAGTGAGTTTAGGGGCTGAGGTGTATGGGGAATAGATGGAAGGTCCATATTAGGAGGGCAGCGTGGCTGCTGGTCAGCATCAATATTGTGAGGGTTTGCAGCATGGCCTTAAGTCTAGTGTACCCTGATGCAAGTATCTGTACTACAGTTCATCTTATGTATCACCTTGCATGTTCAAACATGCTCATTTCGTGCTTGACTATGATCTGTCTGTGTGAATGTTTCCCGTAGAGTGGAAATGTTGATGCACCTACTTTTATTATAAAAGCTCATATCAAGGAAAAGTTATTCCATGCACTGGACAGCTACATCCAATCTATTTTGCATGCCCAAAAGCTGCATCAGTGAGTGGTGCTAAGGATGGAAGGAAATCTTCAGCTGCCTGTCACCTAGAAAACTTAAGCGTACCGAAAATGAGAAAATATCCGGATCTTAATGACAAGCTTGCAGGCGTCAAGCGGCTTTGTAGACAGAGCTTGTCAAGTTGAGTTTTGCAAGAATATGATTTACGATAATCGTACTGTGCCGATGAAACAAGAAATATCGAGACAAGAAACGTGGTAAACCGAGATGATCATACACGTTCAAACATTTTACAGTCTATGCTATGAAGCGACACTCGATCGAGGTGTAACCAGGAGTAACCTTAAAGCTAGCACTAACTGTGTGATGGAAGGAAAGAAACTGCCAGCAGAATAAATTTCACTTTCTCTGAGAATGCACTATGCTTGCCTTTTTCTTCTGATCATCAACATTGCAGCATGCTCCTTTAAAATGATCTTGTAACATGATATGCAGATGCACTTTTATTTATAACTAGAAAACTGGGTGAGTGTTACATTCAATTAAATATTGTATAAGCACATGCTACCCTTTGCATTTTAACACTGCACTCTTTCTAGTCTGTGCGCAGTGATCAAGCTTCCATGTTCAAAATACAGAGTGTCAAGGGGTGGTGACAACTGTTAACCTTTGAATAGGTCGAAGTTCACAAAGACTATTGGGTTTCTGAACATCCTTTCAAAATGCAGTAATTTGATTTTAAGGGCATGAAACCATCACGTTTTCTGGAAGTTTTTTCAAATAGTAAAATTCCAGTGTGAATCAAATTATATATTTTTGAAAGAAATATACTTTTTTAGAGTCCAGGAAACATTTCGGAAGGAATATTCCCTGTGCACTAAGAAATTATATTTATTTCAAAAATGCAATAACAAACAGCCTAAGTAGCCACTCTTTTGCCAATTAGAAAGAACACTAGAAAATATTTGAAAGTCTGAACATTGGCATACACTCGCAATTTACCTATTAATTACCATCCCATCTCACCAACTAGCACAGCCTGCAAAATGTTCAAACGTATACTATCATTCCAGTTAATGACGTTTCTTGATTCCACCTTGCTCATTTCACCGGTACAGTATGATTATTGTAAATAATTTCTTATAAAACTCCTCACATACATGCTGGCTTCAAGCAGTTTTTGGCAATATAGCAGTGTAAATACCAGCACAAATGCTAACACCCCAAATCTAGAAGTAGCACTGAATGCCAGCAAATATACCTGGAGGCAACGGTCCTGAGGCAATTTGCCCAATGTAGCTCCATGATAAACTTGCATATGTATCACCTGGTCAGAGCAATTTATTATGTAAACACGTACACTCATTCTGTACAAAACATGACATATTGACTCCGCTGCAAGTAGATTAGGAGCAACAGTTGCACTGGAAAGTAATAAAACACAAACCGTACTTTAAAAAAATGTACAAACGTCTTTCAGTGTTAGGATTTACAAAAATATGCTGCAATTTGGGTTTAGCAAGGCGCAAGGCTACAGTCACTATGTACACTCACACATCACTACAAGGTGCTGCAATTCTACAGCAGAGCAGCTTCTGAACCACTGAACAATCCTTCAAATCGTAATAAGGTTTTGCAACATTGTCAAGCTTCACCTCACGTAACCATTAACTGAAAACCTTGAATTAACATATGCCAATTATTATAGCTTGAACTTAGAATACATAGTGTTAAAATCATGTTTAGTACAGTGAATTCAACCAGAACTGCTATGTGCAAGCAGATTCCTACATTTAATCTAAAGCGACCATAACAGAGTAGTCCTTGTAACTATGAGCAAATGGCATAATAAGGTTAGTCACCCCCCCCCCACCCCAGTAGCTAAGCTACCACTACAGGTTCTAAAGCGTAAATTTTGGCAAGCTCTACCAAGTTCAAATTATGAAGGAAAAATTTCTTCCACAGCAGTACCGCACGTATGGACGTTCATATCGACCATGTGTTTTTAGACTTCTAGAATGGTGTTCCAACATTCAAAATTTTACATTGTTCATTGGCTATCCATGCGAAGCATCTCCAGGGTTTGGTTTGATGTTTTGCAAAAACACCTGCCTTATTGCAGTTGCTGCAGTATCACGTGAACCTCCCAATATTTTTTTTTTGTCTCTGTGCTACAGTTGCCAATCAATGCAATTGGTTTTGCTTTTAAAATCACTTGTAATATCTTCATGAAAGCATGTGACTAAAAAAAAAGGTATTACAATAAGTTCTAGATATGCCCCACATCAAACGCACAACTGAAAGACAGAAACTGAGATGAAAAGAAAGCTTGCATGAAGTTTTTCGTGAGTTGTATGACTTTGTTATATCTAGGTTCAACAGTTTAGAAATTTATTGGTCCCAAGAAAATTTTAAATTAACCTATTGAAGTGAGAATGAAAACATTTCACTGCTCTAAAGAAATACTGTGAGGACCAAATGCAACACAAGTGCACCTCAAATAAAGGTTTCAAAATGCTTTAACAACCCATTCCAAATAAAAAATTATGCTAGGCTGCATGATAATTGCAGAACAAGATGCATCTGATAATTTAGTATGAAAGTCTGGGTTATGCATAGTCATCCTAAGGTTCAATGACATTGCTTAATGAATAATAAAAAAAACACTCAGGAACTGGCAATTAAAAGTCTAAAGAGAAGAGTGTAAACAAGTATTAGTAAGGAATGTGACACAGTTGTGAAAGAATATAGATGCCACACATTCAGAAAACTAGATAGATAATAATAATAAAAAGACATTTCAGTATGCCAGAAATGTTCTCTTCACATTTTCATAAAACTGCACAACATGGCAACACTGAAATAAAAGTGGAAAATTTTAACATACTTGACAACACCAATGCACAAGCAATTTATTATGTAGTCAGCTGACCACAATAAATGACCATGAGTACCAAATCATATGTCTATCGTATCTAGAAATGGTTATAACAGGATAAATAATTAACCATTGGCCCACCTATTTCCCTTATACTAAAAGTAGAGTATAAGCTTACAAGCTCCATTACTTCCATAATTCTCAATCCTTGGCATGCTTGTGACGCAGCTCATAAAAAAGCAATAGCTTCAGGCATACAAAGTATAACCAGAAGTAATTTTTAGGCCAACAGGGTTTGACAAGTGGACAGTGAGGCTTGCCAGCACGCGCAGCAGCTTTAATCTTTACAAACATACACATAAATATACAATGCTGTTCACTCATTGTCAAAAGTATTTAGGCTGGACTGCACATGGATTAGAGCAGAATGCTAGTATGTGAGCCATGGGCACCCAAAGCAAACCCAACACATACCCAGCATGTATACACAGAAGATAGAGAACTCTCTTGCTCTTCAGAGTTGTGCAACTCCAGGACTGTAGAGGCAGCATCGCCACATGGCTCAGCAATAGCTATGAAGACAGAGGCCAGTATACTCTTGACAAAGGTTGCCACAAAAACTACATGCTCGAATTTGGGTTAACGCAAGCACTGTGGTACAAGTTTCGATTCCAGAGATAAAAAATGAAAGTGAGCCAGTCCACATGACACATCAATGTCCAATTCACTGTCGTGCACACTTTCTCTAGCTCACCGACTTGTCTAATACCCCTGTCACACGGCAAATATGATGACATTCGCTTGTAATGTCATCCGTTTGCTGCCACACAGGGAAACTAATGACATTTGACAAGAGTGACATTTTCTGTCGAATGAGTTCCTGAAACACATTCGCATTTGATTTCAAACCGAATGAGTAGTCTCGATGTCAGGGACGTTTATGGAGATGACTGTTAACTTATGTAAACTCAACTTTTAACATTTGTAAATATCTTGTTCTTTACTAGATCAACTTATTACTGGTTTTATAACACATAGCATGCGCAAGCGTTTCTAAAAAAAAAAAGCTACTCTTAACTACATAGACTGGACACTGGCCACATTTCATTTTCGCTCTGTTGTCGTTGTTGCTTGTATTGCGGATGTTGATTGTCAAATTGCACGTGTTGTGGTGACCAAGGGGGTGACTACACGAAATCGCTGCCGCCATCTCATTTTTGCAGCCGGGAATTCAGTCATGCGCCCTGCTTCATTTCACTGTACTATACCTGTACTTATGCACGGTCATACCGCTTTGCCATGTTGGTTTTCGAGTGTGTCGTGCAGCTGTGGCAAGCAGTGTAAAATGGCTGCGTTTATACTCTAGGAGCATCTTTTTACCCATAAAAATTTTTATTGTGGATACGCGCATGTTACATGCAAGATGTAGTATATTTTTATTTCTCCTAAAATTCACGGCTCAGGAGGGCTAACGTCTTGGTCATCATTACAAAATGACATCTGTTTTCGTCGTGTGACAGCATGCAGGTAAAAAGAAATTAGGTCTGCTTGATGTCATTAGTTGATTGGTTGATATGTGGGGTTTAACATCTCAAAATCACCATATGATTATGAGAGATGCCGTAGTGAAGGGCTCCGGAAATGTCGACCACCTGGGGTTCTTTAATGTGCACCCAAATCTGAGCAAATGGGCCTACAGCATCTTTGCTTACATTGAAAATGCAGCCGCTGAAGCCGGGATTTGATTCCATGGCCTACGGGTCAGCAGCCAAGTACCTAAGCCACTAAACCACCGCGGCAGGGCAATGTGATTCGTTGTTAATGACATTACATTTGCCGTGTGACAGGGGTATTAGGCTGCTGTTACTCTCATGCTACAAAACGAGTTGTACTGCTGTGCTACAAAGTAGGGCACAAATTTTTATCAGTGAAGCTCCTATGGTGAATGTATGAATTTTATAGAAACTGTAGATACTAAATTTCTCCACTCATGAAATTGATGTCTGTAAAGCAAAATAATGTCAACACAAACAGCCAAGTCACAATCACTGAACTAGAGCTAGTTCCCCAATCTAGCACTTAGTTAAAAACCCTTCAATCCTTCCATTACAAGCTCAGTTGCTTTACTGTCCTCGCGCCTCAAACAATATTATTCACTGCATTTGCTTTCTATATCTACGACATTATGCCAGGCATAAAATATAGGCACTACACCCAGCAAAACACTTCTTTAAGGTTATCACATCTACAATAACTAACAAGGGTGGAAGCATATTGCAATGGCCAGTGAAAACTCCAGACATAGAAAAAAAAAATAACTGAGTTCTAACAAATAAGCACTGGTCCACAAGAAACATGACTGCAGAGTTACATAAAAGAAAAAAGTGAAAGCCTCCACTGTTTCACACATACGGAAACTAGTCACCAGGTACTGCTTTTAATTTTCTAATCTTCCTGCGGTGTTTAAATAATTATTGTTGGTTCAACTAATTTAGAAGACCTTTTAAACACAAGAAAGAGGGATGAAAAAAAGGATGCACTATATTAGTTGCAGCACTACTTATATACAATCTTTATTAATTGACTTTGTTAGTATAGCTAAACCATGAAAGAGTCTGTGCACAGCACACATGAATATTAGCATACAACTAAAATGCATGACAACACAAAAAACATAGTGGTGGAATATCTTCTGCCCAAGCAGAGACGACATCATAGCAACACATTCTAACTACACCATGAAAACTGAGTTGCTATAGATCTACCTTATGAATATGACTGCAGTACACACTTAATTTGTGATAGTTGAAACAAATATAAATACCAATACGAGTTAAAAATGCAAAAGAGCTCACTGATGAGCCAAATCCCGTGTCCAGTGCATTCGTTCAGTTTCATAAGCCACTCATTCAAAAAATACTAAAAAAAAATTAAGAGGGCCCTGCAACACTTGTCAGAGTAATCACGGAATGATCACAAAAACATAGTTTACTACCTCGTGAACTGTTTGATGCAAAGAAGTTTTCAGATCTATCAAGTGTAAATGAAGTTATAAAGATCTTTTGCATGCTCCAAGTGCTTTTTGTCTTCTTTCATTCCAACGAATGCTTGAACCTACACAGGGAAGCATGACAAAGGGGGCAAAGTACTACATCAGTGAGCAACATGACCTTGACTGTTTCCAGTAATATCTGAGCTTTTACGTTCCAAAACTGTGATATGATCATGAGGAATGCCATAGTTAAGGGCTCCAGAAATTTCGAACCTCTAGTTTTCTTTAATGTACACTGACATGACACCATACACGAGTTTCTACCATTTCGCTTCTATTGAAATGTTGATTGATATGTGGGGTTTAACGTCCCAAAACCACTATACGATTATGATAGACGCCGTAGTGGAGGGCTCCGGAAATTTAGACCACCTGGGGTTCTTTAACGTGCACCCAAATCTGAGCACACGGGCCTACAACATTTCTGCCTCCATCGGAAATGCAGCCGCCGCAGCCGGGATTCGAACCCACGCCCTGCGGTTCTATTGAAGTGTTACTGCTGCGGCTGGGATCAAACCAGTGACCTTCAAGTCAGCAGCGAAGCACTGCAACCACTGTACCACCATGGTGGACCTCCTTGACCATTCAACCCCCCCTCCCCTCCCACCACCTTTAATGTGTCTGCACACTTTCTGTAGGATGGTGATGAACATGGTGGCATGCTCTGCGAGTACCTGGTGAGCACTGGCTTTGTCCTGCATTATAGACAAATTCAGATAATGCATTTCCAAGCCAATTCACTTAGCTAAGCACAATGCGATGCCTGGCAAGGTGTCTTAATAGTATGAAACATAAAAAAAGAAAGCGTGCAATGTGAACGGCTTAGCAGTTTTCGAAGCAACAAAGGCATTGCCAAGTGCTGTAATGGTGAACCCAGGATAAGACAAGTGACCCGCTAAGGCAAGTAATGTTTGAAATAGTAGTCGTGGAATATGCAACATAATGCCTCTCATAAAATTAGGAGAAACTAATGAAGGCTGATAGAGGCCCAAAGTTCCAAGATAAGTACCTTTCCAGTTTTAAGGGCAAAGCTCCTAAAGGCATGGGTCTGTACATCCCTTTTATGTATGTACATGGTCACCTATAGTTCCACCTTTGCCAACTGCCCACTACTTCGTCCTTGCAACATTCCACTATGCCCAATCACCGATCTACGACTTCACCAACAATAAAGCAAATACTGTTGAGAAGTAGCCAATATGAAATGCAAGACCTTATACCCAGGTGCACATTAAAGAACCATAAGTTGTCCCACTGTGTCCATCCCTAGTTTGTACGTGACCTCCTGTAGTTCCACCTTTGCAAACTGCGACTACATCGTCATTCCAAACATCCCACTACGCTCCATTACCGATCCATCACTTCAACGACCATAAAGCCATTATAATGAAGGCTGAACGAAAGCGACGCATAGCTATTACTTACAAATAATAAAATTTCTTGTATAAATATATACAGTGTGTCACATCCTTGCTGATGTAGTGGGCGATAATCACAGATGGTTCACGGCTCAGCTACGCAATCCTCCAGCGCTTCACCCCACTCATCATCATTCACTTCGTGAATATGCTGCGATTTTTTTCTGAAGAGAGAAACATGTATAGTTTATTGTGATAGCAATTATATGGACACTCTCAGCTGAATTTTGCTGTCGGAATCACTTATCGTCTATGTATACTTATCTATATATATGAAAACGAAAAAACAAATCCAGGAAAAGACTCTGGAGCGCGAAATCGAACGTGGGAATTCTGAATTGTGAGTGCGAGGCATTAGCCACTGAGCAATGAAGGAGCACTTTCTTGAAAGTCCAAACAGCAAGCTACTTGTCTGCCACTTACCACTGGTTACGGGCATCTCGGGGGGAACTATCGTGTTTCCAGCATTATCAGCAAGACGGCACAATGAGCGCACGTCGCCACGTTGTCATGATGCGGCAGCGCGCACAAGCTGGACGCTCATGCGTGCGCTTATCTCGCGGTGGGGACAATCGTACGTCTTGACTGGCCTTGGGCTTTCGCCGGAACAGTTCTGCTGTAGTTACTGGGCGCACAAAGGTCACTGCAATCATTGCACAGCCTCCGTTTGCAAAAAGGGCATGCTTTTCAGACACGGCGAAGTAACAACTGAGGCACTTATTAGTGTTCATCTGTACCTGTGAGTATGTTTCGTGCATCATTTGTGCGCGAGAAATGCGGGGCACGTTTAGATCTGCTTGCTATTTTGCACGTGACCTTTCAATTTGTTGCTATGGCGTTCATTACTTTGCCTTTGCGGCAAAGCTGTGACTTAATTTATTGACCTCAAAGCAAACATATATACTACAGGGGATGTCTTCACGATCATGAAATAAGCCAATGGCATTGTCCGTCACTATAATTACACAGTCGGCCCCTTTGACTGCGTGTTATGTCAAGGGAAGTGTGGGAAATTTTAGGCTGCTTTTGAAATTAAATTGAAAATTTTCTACTGCATGCAGCACAATACTCATGTTCACATGCAGTATTTTCAGACTGTGTTCATAATGTGTTGCAGGGCCCCTTTAAGAGAACAACAAATGGCTGTGCAGAGACGTGCCATAGATAGTAAAAGCACTCACGTCAGGCAAACTTTAGCTTCCAATGTACAAGTACAATAAATGATGCAAGAAAGTTTATCTCCAAGCAAAATTGTTATAGCCGCCCTTATTTCCAACGCAAAAAATTGCAATGGCCTTACAGCAAACTAATATTTGCAACATGTACCAACCAGCCCAGATCTACAATGTGTAAAGATGTGATCAAAGATGGACAACACAGTTTCTTAAATATACACATTTCAGTGTCACAACTTGTGGCAGATGAGGCATCTACCAAGTACTACACTGCTCAAAAAGTCACAAAAAAAGTGCAACATCAGTAGATATAACAACAAATTCTTGTAAAGCACAAGTCCAATTTAGTGCACAAACAAATCCAAACAAGGTCAAACATCTACACATGCACGGCGAGTCGTAAAGGGTGTTCTACATCCATTCCAAAGGAAGATAGGTCCAAAGCTGCTACGGAGGCAGTCCACTACTTTGTGCTTAAAAAAACACTATCCACAAGCTCATAGCTTCAACTGTTCAGCAGTTCACCCACACATACACAGTATTTCACCCACACATACACAGTCTCTCACATTTGCGAGGATAATCAGCGTGCTTGAAACTGGAGAAGATGGGATCGCAGACTGCAACGCGAGGTCCCTCCAATAGTACTGGAAACTCGAGGGGGATTTAAGATGTTGTCAAAAGACTGCGACGTAGTAGGCACATCCCGCAAGGGCATTACTGTATGATTGGTCCGCTCCTGACTACCTGGGAGGTTCTCAGATGAACTGAATTGCTGCAGGGGGCTGGTGGAGTTACGATAGGGCACAGATGATGTTGGGCCAGTGGACGGGATCAGACTCTGCAAAAAAAAAAAAAAGAAAATCCTCACATTAGCCCCAGCTGCTGGCGAAATGGCTACACTAACCCAAGCTGCCACAATTCACACAGAAAACAGTGGGAAAAATTAAATTATAACAACCTGAGAAATGTAGAGACATGCTGACACATGTACAGAAGGAAATTTTGAAAAATGTGCACCTTAGCCAAGATGCATGAAATTAACACATCGAAGAATGTAATAAATTGTGTGGGGCCAACTCGGCTAGTTGTGAATTCAGGCCTTTAGATGGGAGATTTGATGGTGCAGTCACGTATTTCTTCTTCTTGATTCATTAACTATGATATCCTTCACTCCGGTTTGTTCCCTGACCCACTCTGCTCTCTTTTTGTCTCTTAAGGTTACACCTATCATTTTCCTTTCCATCGCTCGCAGGATCATCCTCAATTGAAGCTGCACCTTCTTTGTAAGCCTCCAGGTTTCTGCTCCGTAGGTAAGTACCGGCAAGATGCAGCTGTTATATACCTTCCTCTTGAGGGTAAGTGGCAGATTACCATTTATGATTTGAGAATGCTTGCTCAATGTGTTACACCCCATCCTTATTCAAGTTATTTCACTCTCATGGTTCGGCTCTGCAGTTAGTATACCTGTCCTAAAGTAGAAATATTCTTTAACAGCTTTCAGCGTCTCTCCACCGCGAAGTATTGTTTTCTACCGAGACAGTTGCACATTACTTTATTTTTGTACATATTTTCAGACCTACTCTTCTGCTTTCCATGTCAAGTTCAGGAATCATGAGCTGTAATTCATCCCGGGAATTACTCAGCAAGGTAATGTCATCAGTGAATCACTGGTTACTAAGATATTCTCTATTCACTTTTACCCCAAACTCTTCCCAATCTAGGGCTCTGAAAACCTCCTGTAAACACGTGCTGAATAGCATTGGAAAGATCGTTTCTCCCTGCCTTACACCCTTTTTTTATTGGGGTAGACCAAAACGAATTGAAATTTTGGTATACCCCAAGTTAAATAGGTGCTCATGAGAGCACCCAGACGTGGGCTGCTAGATAGATATATATGTAGATAGAAATGATCAAAGTGTGCAGTACACAAAGAAATGCTTCACATTCATTTAAAATAACCTGATGCATCACACCGTAATAATCCAATAAGTAAGGCATGTTCCATCTGATGCCTTTTCAAAAGGTGGCTACCAGTATAATTAAAACATTGAGATTTATATAAAAACTAATAATTAAAAAGTGTATACAGTATTTGCATAACCAAGTGGCATGACGACCTTCTGCCCACCATTTTTTTACAGACGCTGCTGAAACAAGAGTGCTTTCCTGCACTATAGCTATAGTGCCTAAAATGTTCTCCATTTCCACTGCTTCTCACAGAAAAGCCAAAGCTACAATGCCTATGCACATTCTAGCACATGTTGGTGTACCACCTGCATAGATGGTCTGTCGCTTTAATGAATGTGTGATAAGATGAAATAGTAATTGCACAAACTTAATTATGCTTATTTGTAGTGATGCTTCTTGCTCATGGCTGTCCTAGTATTAACATCTTGAGCATATGAATGGCTGATATACACCAGCGACAATGTGAGTGGAGTACCACTTTTAACACCAAAGGGCATCTGCAGCTGCAGAAGTATTGGTTTAAAATTATTGCCTTGAATAGACATTGGGCATTAAAGGTGTATACGAAAATAACTTGCATATGTGTACTCTAATAAAGGAAAATAATAGTTCTTCATTTACTGAGTAATACCACAGTTAGTGTTTATCAATCATAATTAACACGAACTCACATTACCAGTATGAATTTAGCATTAATAATCCCCCAATTTACATGTATGAGCATTACATATAAATAAGTAATACACAGTGTACAGAGCCAACACGAACCAGACTTGTTTTGCACATGGCATCAGCCCTTATGAAACTTAAAGAACAGCACATTGAGCAAATATCATTGTATATCTGCCTAGTGTTAGAAGGGCTACTAAACAAGATATGACCAGGTTTAAGAGACACAAACAAGCTAACAAACATGTTTTATAGCTCTGGTCTAAAACCCCTTCTTGTGCCAACTAGCTCAAAAGCAGACACTATCAAAATTGCCCAATCTCCCAGACAGGGTGGACATAAACAAATTTCAAAGACATCAAACTTTCATGAAAAACTTAAGAGGTCTTAAAAAGATGCTATATGCATAATTTTGATTGCCTGTGGTATTGTCATTAACACAACAAGATGACAGAGTGTTAATGTATACACAAATGCATTTTAATGCAGTGGAAGGACGCTACCTGAGGCGGAGCTGAAGGTACTGCATGCAGCCGTCTGGAACGATGATGCGCCTCAGCAATGGCAAGGGTTGCTTGGTGAACTTTGCAGTAGATCTTCTCTCCCTCGAGGGTGTGAAACACAAACATGCCTTCCCCAGTGGCACAGTGCCTATGGGACACCACAACATTTCCAATAAACCTCTTGATGCTTACGCTAGGCGCTAGCTGGTCTCAAAATTATAAGTCTAGCCCAATGTTCAGAAGCCCTAAGGTTACTTCAGCAAGTTCTTCAGAAATTTGGATTTGTTAAATATATATTAAAACTGATCAAAATTATGCCAAAGAGTGATAGAGAAAATCCCGCTGAGCCTATAGATTACAGAAATCTATTTTATACCAAGCAGTCAGCAAGTGACAGCCCGTGCTAGATTTTTTTCTTCTTTGCTTTCAGCCAAGCATTACCAAAGAAGACACATGTAGCGATGTCTCTGTAAAGATTGAGTAGTGTACGCATATTGTGGGCCTACCAGGCAAGGCCGAGTACACTGGGCATGTAATGGGTAGCTCACGGTGCAATATAAATCAGTTTTATCACCACTAAGTGCACACTACGGTGTGATGATACGCATAATATAAGTAGGACTCATATGCATATTTGCTCAGTGCTTGACAATATCTTGCAAAGTTATAGGTGTACATATGTGATTGTTATCACACTGATATAAAGGCCCAAAGCTAACACTGCAACCAGAATTGACACTCTGGCATGGCATATGTAATGACTATTTCCAAAGCAGTTGGAAGCACTGGCGTAGCTCACTGATAGGATACTTGACTACCATGCCGAACACTCGTATTTGGTTCCGGCTCGAGCCTTGACTTCTATTCTTTGCTCCATAGAGATATCACACTCATTGACAATGCTGCTGCCTTCACCCTTCACACAGTCACGTTAAAATGTTGAGAGCCTGAGTTGATATACACTATCACCTATGAAACATGCCCACATACCATGAGTCACGATATGCAGGCTTTGTACCTTCAACCTATAAACAATGTGGGTGTATTACTACTGGGCAAATACCACCTAGTAAGGCAATGGTCTATTTCTTTATGCTTCTCATTCCTATGCTTCTAATGCACTAGGCTGGGGAACTTATATTTCAGTCCCATGATTATAAAAATTAGAGACTATCACAATACCAGGCCATACTTTTGCACTACAATAGCACACTGCAGATCGTGATAACATTTTGTCAATCAACTTGGGGTCACATTAAAGGCAAATGACAACCTCATTTTAACTAACAGATAAAAATAGGTGTCAACCATCAACTGATGCTCGTTATACATTATTACTTACCAAGCTACTAAGTAATCTCAGGCCATGTGACAGTACATGACTTTTCAATGTTGGAGAAGATAACACTAACGTCGCATTAGTTCTTTGATTGCGTACTGGTCGTGCGACAAAAGCGTTGCAAAAATCAAAGCTGCATTATAGAGACCATCGAGTACAGAAATGGTGATCTTCCTTAATGCTGTTCATAACACTTATTTCTCTCTTATGTATATGAAATTTGCAGAGTTCCTAAAGCCCTATGACATGACCATCTGAATATGCCATAAACATACTGTGTCAGCTAGAATATGAATACACATAGAGCCAATGTCTTTTTTTTTTCTTCCCATAAAACAAAGTAGAATGTTAAAGCAAACATGCCCACCTGCCAGCTTCAAAAGTGAACTTGGCTGGGTCACTGCCATAGCGTCGCAGAGCAGTCAGGGGCCAAGCAGCCAGCTTGGTTCGAGGGCTCAGCAGATCCCAAAGGTATATGTGCTCATGAGTGACCTGTAGCAGACACTCGCCGAAGACATCCAATTTTGGGCTTGGCACCAAATAGACATGAAATTGTTCTGAAAAAAAAAAACAAGAGAAAAACAAAAACAAAATACAGGTTCTTTCATACATTGTAAGTCACCTTTTTCTCCTTTTATTTCCAGTTAATAAGATACAATGATAATTTGCAATCATGCTACCATCAATTCCATCCATTCTGTGGCAAAGCACTATTAAGCTGTATAGTCAGTTTCGTTGTAGAAGCTACATGTACTTGAATTCTTTTTCTGAAGAAATATGACAGGAAGTTCTCAGTTTTTTTACTGCAAATGTTCACACACCCTTGCATGGTTCACATACTCTTGCAAATGCATGGCAATGCAGTGCAGGCTGGCCTGCTCTTGCACTGTTAGATGAATGCACTTTTTCTTTGTTAGGAATATTCTTCTTGGTGTCCAACTAAATAATTCAGTGGTAAGTGTATGCTAGTATTTTCTCAAGCGTAAAGTGAGCGACGCAATGTGATGCTGTGTAAATTTTGGCGACCGATTATGCATTTTGTGAATATATGCAAGAACTTTTTATTTTAAAGCAATAAATTGTACATTGTGTTTACTTATGACATAGGTGTACAGTTCAACCAGTGGTATTGTGAAAGATAATTACAGTGAACAGTGAATTACAGATAACAGTGAGGATTGAAATAGCTAAAATTAGACAACTTGGCCAACCAGTCTATGTGAGTGCTCCATCATCTATTTTTCACATGAAAGGTTTTTAAAGCGATATTGATCGAAAGTTTGAAAAAACTGAAAACACTGAATTTTGCCTCGAACGATTCGGCTGCTCTTATAATCAGTGTTTATGCCATGTAATTTCAAGCAGATGGCCATATTTTCAGTGGACTGTGAGAGCAAGGCCGCTGCACACCAGTGTGCTTGTCGACGGCCGTGACATCACATGCACCAGCAAGAGGTGGGCAATCGGCGCACTCTCTCCTGCCCAACTTCTTTCCTTTCTCTACCTGTCCTCTCAAAAACCACATCGAGTGTGACACTGATTTGTGTCTCTGGTGTCCCCGCATGGGAGACAAACAGCGCTAAAAAGAGAGTGGTTAGAATGGGGAGGTGTAAAAAGTGGCCACGATATACGGTCCCCAAAGTGCGCCAATACCGCAAGGGACACTCCACGCAGGGGCACATGGCATTGAGCAGATGACGTACACCCCAGCCTTACTTGTGTACCAGGAGCATGGCCTGCTCTACCTTTTGCATGCTACACTTTCAAACGTGAGTGCAATAATAGGGACTTTTAGCTTGTATGTATACTTCTTTTTGTTACTGCGTTACAGGATAGAATCTGCGCATGCCCGGGTCTTTTCGGAACGCAAACCTTTACGTAACATAAGCTACCCCCCCCCCCCCCCCCCCCCCGGATAGGCTTTACGTTTCCCACCCTATCTTGCAAATCCACCTTTGTTCATAAGAACTTGCAATATCCGCTCTGCGGAGACTTGAGCCGTCGAGTTAAAATAAGCCGAAGTGCAAGTGCCAATAGCAATTGCATTGTTTCAACCGGACTACTAAAGCTAGAATGGACTAAAACAGACACCATAAATGTGCGAGCCCCGGACAAGCTAGATAGGCGACGCCATTTAGCGGGGTCATAATAAACCAGGTAATCACAAAATTGTTATTGCAGAAACATCGTTGTATTGTAAGTCTGGTGCAAAAACTGTGCAACAGCATTATTATAAGTTACCTTTTTAATAATTCTCACCTCACAAACATTATGTGTAAGCCAATGCGTTCATGACTGTGGTTGCACGAAGTGTCACAAATACCAGCACTATCATTGCAGTAACCTTGCATTTTTCATTTTCACTCTTTTGCACATACGAGAATACTGTACACAATAAAGAAATGTCTCCTGATTTTGCTGCAATGATGATTAAATCCGATGAAAGTTAAATCCAGTTTAAATGCAGTGCAGTTAGCATCACCATTTATGGTTTCCAAAAACGTAAAGGTATACGCATTTACGTATTAGGAGCTAAAGCGTTAAAAGACATGCATTCCGGTAAGACGGTAAACGCAAACCGGTTTCTGGTAACACGTTAACGTAAAGAAGTATACGTACAAGCTAAAAGCCCCTACTAAGAAATTGACTTTATCCCCTTCTTTGTAAAATAGCGTACACATGCATTATCATGCAGCAATCGGCATACAGAATAGCACTACACCTAAGTTATATCGTTCAAGGCCTGTTGGGCATACTACTTAATTCAAGAGCCATGTTTTTTTCGTTCTTTTTTTTTTTCGCATCTGTTCTGCCATTTTACAAATTGCAATAATGCTTCACTGCAACTTATCGCAGACATATTGCCCATTCACATTGCTGAAAACTTGCCTGCTCTCTTGTACCTATTACAATACCCTGTCTGCTGGTCACAACACCGTGTGTACATTTTACCCGCAAAAAAACAATTACACACAAAGCAAGTTTCGTTTATTCATGCAGTATACCATATTTACTCGCGTAATGAACCCACACCCATAATAAACCCACCTCCCCCTCGTTCCTTGAAAAAAGAAGAAAAAAGATTTTTAATGTATCTTTTTTTAATGTATTTCGGTGTGGTACCCAGTGCCGTTGACTATCGAAACAACGTTAAATCAAGCCGTTATATCACAAAATACTAACAATAAAAGTCAAAGCATAGTTTCACAATCATGCTATACAGTTGCGAGAACGCAAATGATGTCAATCAAAATTTAAAAAAGGAGGAACAAACTTTATTATTCAGAAAGGGGAGGGGAAATGGGGGAAACCAAGTTTGACGAGGGCTAGGTTGGGGCCCAAGATGCCGCAACACTAGCAGACCAGTCCGCCAGCTTGGCCTGTATATGCAAATTCGGGCTCCTTGAGGACCTCCCCCAGACTTCCGGTGACGGAGATGGCTGCAGGAGCTCCTCGGGTGGAGGGTTGTTGGGCACACCCCATAATACGTGGTCTTGTCCTACCTGTGCTAGGCCACAGTTAATCGAATTTTAAAAGTTGCGCCTTTTAGAGCAAAGCGCCATCTGACGAATGCAGGAGAAACCTTTTTGCTTATAGCGCCTGCACAAACGGATGGCGCGCACAAATGCCCGCAACGTTTGTGCGCCGCCATCCGACGCTGCATTTTTGTTGTCAGGATTGTTGTAGTGAACTTAGTTGAGGACACCTGCTGCGCAGGGCACGTTCGGCGGCTGGGCGACACTGGCGTTAATCCATGCGCATTCGATATGGGAGAAAACAAGGGCTTCAGGCTACAAAAAGATTCGTCACGTGTTTCGCGGGCCAGAACAAGAAAAACTGTTGTGCTAAATTTTCGCTGTTATAACTCCCGTGACCCTTTTCTTCCGGTTAATGAACCCTCTGCCCAAATCGTTGTGAACTTTTCTGGAAAAAAGGTGGGTTCGTTGCACGAGTAAATACGGTATAAAGAGTTGTCTACACAACACAGGGCTTAGGCTGCTTGGCTTTCTTTTGTTGCTCCTGTGAGCATTTAGTATACCCATCCTCTTCATCTGTACATTATCATCATTATCATGCATTGCTCATGCATCCTCATCGTTGTCGCGTAGCATCATCATCTTGGTTCGTTCATCGTAGCTGTCGGCTGTCGGTTCTTCAAGCCTAATAAAGGTCTTCCAAACCAAGACTTCATACTCCTTTCAGTTGGCGTTATTTATAAATGCAGCAAGCTAAGCTACAAAAGCATGTAACAACTCAAGTTAATATAACTACATGCTCACTGCAATGAACCTGTTACATTTGCCCAATCTCTTACTACATGTCTACAAGAGACTTAGTGGAGGCAAGCTGTCTAAAAAAGTGGTCGCCTCGTTCACAAGCGACTGGATTAAGTGGTACAGCCTGCCTGACAGGTAAAGGGGACCACCATGGTCCCACTACCCCCGCCGGCAGATTCAGGGTGCCATCTTCTTTGATGTTCAAGCTACTTAGCATAGTTTACAATTGATGCAAAAAATCTGATTCGTTGTCACATAGCCCATAATGTAATAGACAAGGCGGGCACCACTTATTTAGCATCAACTCTCGATACCACACGAGCTCACGTCTCCAACAGCTCTTGGCATGCCAGTGCTTAGAGCAAATGTCTGTCTGTCTGTACGAACAGCCAATTTCAGAACCAGAACAAATAAGAATGAAATAGGATAAATGACAATGAATTGAATACAAATTAAATACTCAAGTAGTAAGGCAACAATTTTTATAACAGTTATATGCTTTTTAATTTGCAGTAGATACCCACAAACATTAACAAAAGGAATGGCACAATTAATTTTAAAAGGAAAAAAATGCCTCTGTTGCATTAACTGAGATAACCTGGAGCAAGCAGTGACAGCCTATGAGAAAATTTTGTTATTGCACCCTGAAATACAGCGGTACAATCAGAATTTGAAGAGGCACTTTTTCTCCACCTTTTAAAGAAAACTGAGGCATAAGAATCAATGATATTTTTGCTGAATCAGCACTAGACGTGACCTATTGTGAAAAATGCATTAAATTCATTATTTTCTGCTAGTTTCTGGCTGACTTGAAGGTTGTGTCACCATGTTACAGCACCAAATCTTTCAATTGGGCCATTTACCTCAGGGGCGAAAACTTTTGTTATGTGTCCCTTTAAAGGCAGAGAATGAAAATTAGAGGAGATGTAAAGGCCCCTTATTTCTTGTGAAAGAATTCAGTAGCAACAATGATGACAAATTAAAATAGATCTAAATTTACAGTTCAAGCCAACTGGATGATGAAAACTGCAGTCACAAGGAGGAATATATTGAACAGCATCTCCGCGCTAACTCAGTCAAGTGATCACTCGCCGCTTCCTGCCAAACAAATTTAGAAAGACGCCATTCCGTACAAAGCCTGACAAACTTGGATCCTGAGAAATGGCCATTCTGATAGATGTATCGTCCATTTCACCGCATTTTTCGGGCTAATTTAATGCATCAATTTTCTAAAATGCTGCTGAAAAAAATTGATGTGCCTTATGTCCAGGCATACAAAA